GATAATAATGTGCAATATGATCTTGTTTTTGTACAAGTAATATAATAAAGTAATAAAAATAATGTAAGTATGCATGCATGGGTATGCACAGGCCACACATGCCCCTCTACATATAAAGTCTGCAAAGATGGACATCAAATTGTGAACACTATCTCCACTGGTAAATGGACTGAAAGTATAGGAGAGGAATGGGCTTGCCCTTTTTGCTTTGTACACTTATTCCTTTGATTTTTAATATTTACAATAAGCATGTGTTAATTTTGTATTAAAACTGTTTTGGGTTTTGGGTTTTTTTTTAATTTTTTAAGTACGCTCCACACCCCATGTGGGGCTTGAACTCATGACCCTGAGATTAAGAGTCACACGCTCTACCAACTGAGCCAGCCAGGCGCCCCTATATTAAAATTGTTTATGAAAAAGAGGAAAGTCACATGGTGATAAACGATTAAAAGGAGGCAGTTCACAACTGCTGATCTAAACTTGCCCAGAAAGGATCAAAACAGTCATAGAACAGCACCTCCCTTCCCCAGTCGGAGACACCCCTCAGTCCGCCATCACTGGAAGGGCCCACAGGCATCTGCTCCCATAACCAAAATCTGTGTGGGTCATGACCGAAGCCTGGGAGATTAGAACTTTGGATAATGAGGAAGCACTTGGCCACGTTTCATAACATAACAAACTACACGTGTATCTAAACATTTTGATGAGTTTTGACCTATGTACACAAACCTATGAAACCATCACTACAATCAAGATAGTGAAAATGCTCATCATCCCCGAAAGTTTCCTCGTGCCCCTTCATAATCCTTCCCCCGCCCCCAGCAACCACTGATCTGGCTGCAGAATGTTTAAGTCACAACTGATATTTATTTTCTAGCAAAAGCACACAGATGTTACTGGAAAATACTCATAGTTACACTTAGTACTCAACTAACAGGTGCTTTCTTCTTTGTCACGATAGTTTCTCAACTCCAAGTTTAAATTGTGCCAGTCCTTGAATCTAGTTAAAGTGCATAGGGCCCGTGGGTGGGGGGATGGGGTAACTTGTTGGGATGAGCCTGGGTGTGATATGCAACTGATGAACCACTAAATTCTACCCCTGAAACTAATAATACACTGTATGTTAACTAAATTGAATTTAAATTTTAAAATGTTTTTAAAAGCTGTATAGGGCCCTACTTTGCTCTTGAAAAATAGATCTACAAAGGTTTATGCTGTCCCCCATACAATCCCTGTTCTTAACCCTGGTTAAACCAAACAAACATTCAAAAAACAATCTGTTCTAAGTGAGATATATTATTTAGTAGATACAGTTATATACTTTACGCATATTTATACATAGGAATAAACCTATATCTACTTAAAAAAATGGACTCACCGAGATCAAGTTATTAGGCCATGACAACATTGATTCTCTAGCACATCCTAATTGGCCCTTTAAATTCCCCTTTCATATATCTGTGCTTCAACTAACAGTGATGGTAGAATTCACTGACAATTTTCCCTTCATTTTCACCCATCACTGTCAGCGGCACAGATCACTTTATTCGACGAAGGTTTGAGAGCCTCGTTATCAACCAAGCCCGGTTGGCAAGGAATGCCATAATTATGCCTCCATAAATTATAAAAAGCTGAATTTTAATAAAAAGTTTAACTCTTCTCACATTCTCTTAATGTTCCACCATGACCTCCCCAGTCCCACACCTCCCACATGCCCACACCTTTCTTCTAGTCCTTGTGATTAAAAGCAACACTTCTGAGAAAGCTTATTCTTTAACACCTTTGCAAAGGCGAACGAGAGCTCCTCCAGCCTTCAAAAATGATGGTCATTCAATAACGTTTACACAGCATGCATTCCAGCAGTATCTCGTGTACACAGGCATTTCACTCAACCCGCTCCCAGTGCCAGAACGTTTCTAGCAGATTCGCAGAGAAAAAGACTGCTTTCTCTAGTCATCTGTTCACCTCACCTTTCTTGTCTCTATACCTGGTGGCGAAGCTGACCAAACAGCAGCAGGATAAGAGAACAGAGAAAAGAAACCGGTCTTGAGATGTTCTCACAAGCTTAAAATGGTTCTTTTGACCAGCAGTGAAAATTCCAGAAATTCTGCCGGGTCTGCATCCAAAGCCACTCCAATACCTTCTTTCAGAAAGAGTCCTCTGCTATGTCTTGGGGCTTTTATTATTTTTTTTAAAGATTTTTATTCATTTTATTTGACAGAAAGAGAGACAGGGAGAGAGGGAACACAAGCAGGGGGAGTGGGTGAGGGAGAAGCAGGCTCCCCGCTGAGCAAGGAGCCCGATGCGGGGCTCGATCCCACGACCCTGGGACCATGACCTGAGCCGAAGGCAGACGCTTAACGACTGAGCCACCCAGGCGCCCCCATGTCACGGGGCTTTTAGATCAGAAATATAACTTTACAACTTTAAAAGCATTTCAATCATAAGCAAAGTATGTGCTATTCCTCCTCTCTCGCTTTTCCTCACACTCATAAATATTTGCTATCAGAGTGCTAGCAAAGGCCATGTCAACGAGGCAGGTTTTTTTAAAAACAGTGAAAAAAAAAATGGGACCATCTGCACAACTGCATATCGTCTTTCAAAGTAGTTCTTTGCTGCCTTTCTGTTTCCTTCCAGGCCTTTGAACCTTTAAAGTTGGTCATTTTGAACGCATTTAAGATGGATAAGGTTCTATCAACATATTTATAGTCAGTGGGGCAGCCAAATGTATTCGGGTCAAAGCCACCTAGCCAGTTTCCAGTTTCCTGGCTAGTACAGAACCCAGGGACTCTTGACCAAAGAGAAATATTCCCTGGCTCTCCAGTTGAGAGGTCCTAGATAAACATTCACGTGTTTTGACACACCATTAACCCAAACAGCAATTTTCAAACTGAGGCTGACCATATGCTCTGATCTTGACAAAATTAAAAATCACATCATTAAAATGAATGGCACTCAGTATTGCAGTAACAGAAATAGAGCCAATACGGGACCCGTCAAATGACTACAAATCAAGATGATCCCAGAGGGTTTATTGGGGCACTGGGGGCTTTGGGGACAGAGAGAAAGGGACTTCTGGGGACCCACAGCCACGCAGCAATGATAAATTAGTGACCACTGAATTCCGGAGTCCTGCTGAGGGAGAATCTCTTCTACCAGCACTCAAAGAAAATCTGCTCTAAGGTAGAGTTTAGTTCGACCATTTTTCTTTATTATTAAGTTTCAGGTGTATAACACTGTAATTTGACATCTGTTTGCACTACAAAGTGATCGCTCCCAAAAGTCTAATTACCATCCATCACCCTACGCTTGACCCCCCTGTACCCCTTTTGCTCATCCTCCATCCCTTCCTCCCCTCTGGTAACCACTGATCTGTTCTCTGTATCTATGAATTTGTTTTTGCTTTGTTTTGTTTGTCTTCGTGTGGCTTGGTTATTAGATTCTACGTATGAGTGATATCATAGAGTATTTGTCTTTCTCCTTCTGACTTATCTCACTTAGCATAATATCCTCTAGGTCCATCCACGTTGTTACAAATGGCAAGATCTCATTCTTTTTTACGGCTGAGTAGTATTCCTGTGTGTGTGTGTGTGTGTGTGTGTGTGTGTGTGTGTACGTATCTTCCATATCTTCTTTATCTATTCATCCCTCAACGGACATTTAGGTTGTTTCCCTGTCTCGGCTACTATAAATGATGCTGCGATAAATATAGAGGTGCATATATCTTTTTAAATTAGTGTTTTCATATTCAGGTAAATATCCAGTAATGGACTGGCTGGGTCATATGGTAGTTCTAGTCTTAATTTTTTTGAGGAAATCTCCACACTGTTTTCCATGGTGGCTGCACCAACTTACATTCCCACCGACAGTGCACAAGGGCTCCCTTTTCTCCACATCCTGGCCAACACTTGTGATTTCTTGTCGTTTACACTAGCCATTCTGACAGGTGAGGTGTGAGGTGATAGATAGCTCATGGTGGTTTTGATTTCCATTCCCCTAATAGTACAGGAAATTCTGACCCTGAACTGAAGAAACCTGGATTCCTGTTAATTCATCTCTTTGGGCAACTTAATTTCCTGTTTTCGTTTCCTTATTTTGAAAGCTCATACTAATGGTTCCTTGGTGTGATAATGTTTGTAAAAGCAAAGAGTTTCTAAAACTGATAAAAATTAATCAGGGTGCCTGGGTGGCTCAGTCGGTTAAGCATTTGACTCTTGATTTTGGCTCAGGTCATGATCTCAGGGTCATGAGATCGAGCCCCGCACTGAGATTCTCTCTCTCCTTCTGCCTCTGCCCCTCCCCCACTTGTGTGCACACGCTCTATCTTAAATAAATACATACATAAATAAAACCAATAAAAATAAATTAACCTAAGGAAAGATTTGTGTTAGGCCTTTCCATGCAAATGCATTTACATAATGCTATATATTGGTGAGGACAGGAGCATGGGAGGAAGCTGTTTTTTTATTTCTTTTTTAATTTGGAGGCGGGGCACTATTTTTTTTAAATATGCACAGGACAGTGAGCAGACCCAGCTGACTGATCCTGTGGTCTTTGGCCCCTTCTTCAGCACCAGAAACATTCTTGTTGTAAAACAACCCTTTCCAGCCAGGAACACCACTTCATATCTTGGATTAATATACTATAACGCTACTGAGGCAGACTTGTTGCTTCCTCTCCTTCACGTTACAAAATAAGAGCTACCAGGGATTTAAAGCAACGTGGCTGGGAATCTTTTTGCCTCACTCACTGAACAGTCAGGGCATGATTTGTGGGAAGTGCATCTCATGGTGTAACCAATGTTTTCCTTCTCAGGGTTACCTTCCCATCTGAAAAGGACTGTCAAAATCCCTGCCCGCCAGTCGCCACCTACAGGGGAAAAGCAAGCCTTACATGGGACTGGGCTTTGTACAACTAAGCAGTTATTTCCCCACCTTTCAATAATCCCGAGGTGAACTTATTTGAATACAAGTCCTACAGAAGAGGATATTCCCCAATACCTTATGGCGAAAATGTGATCAAGGAAGGAACGACTGGAGAAGCCACAGTTCACATGAGCTCGTCACGGTAGCCTGCTACGTTGTAGCATCTGGACCACCGAACGCTGTAAGAGAGAAAGGCGGACAAAGTCAAAAGCAGATGAAATGATTTGAAAAAATAAAGCACCTGTATATTTACGACTTTGGGCACAGACAGCACTGAGATTTACATAGTTGTGCTTACAGACCATCACGATCTGGTTTTTGTACCCGTTTTTTTGTTTGTTTTGTTTTGTTTTGTTTTTGTACCTGTTTAGTAGCAATTCCAGATATCGACATGGTCAACACGCTTCTCATTTTTCGTGGCCACCGCAAATTTCTGCAGAAATTCTATATAGAAAGAAACGCTATGGAGAAGTGCTGGAGAGACTGACTTTGTATTTGGTTGGCTATTCCCCCGTCTCCAGGGATTTGCATTTTCCAATTAGTCTTTTTGACTGAAAGAGCACTCTTTCCAAAGGGGTACCACTGCTACTCTATACTACAAGTGCGGGAAAGAGAACCACTATGAACATCTGTGTACATGTCTCTTAACACATCATTTCCTCAAAACATGTTACCATGTCGGAGGGCAGGAATGGGCTTATATAATATAGCTCATGACATATTGGCAAACTGCTCTTGTGAAAGATGATGACAATTTATCATGACATCAGTAGTATTAAAGGGCCCACCTGAAGTGACTTGAGTTTGCATTTCGCTTTTTATGAAATTAAATAAAAATTAAAGGTTGGCTCCAGCCCACACTGATAATCCACAGCCTGTTCGAGGTCTCCAACCTGAAGGTCCCGTTCGCATCCCAAGCTAGCAAGTGCGACAGAACTCTTAAGTTCCATGCCCCGCCCCACAACCTGCTCTCCGCCTCCACTTGCCCCCCCCCCCCACCCAGTGATTCCCATCTCCCTACCCAGAGCCACCCTCCTCCCAGGTGCTCAGGCTCGAAATCAGGAGCTGGCCCTCCCTTCCCCTCACATTCGACCCTTGAGCCAAGTCTTCCTGACCCCACCTTTACCACATTCCAAGGCTAGGTCCACCATTGCCGCCGGGTCCAAGCCAGAGCCATCTGGAACCTGGATTCCTGCCACAGCCTCCCAACTAGTCTCTCCTGCTGTCCTTGCTCCCAGAGAGTCTATGCTAAGTGACAGGCAAAATGATTTTTTTTTTTTTAACCCTAAATCAGATCGTGTCACTCTCTCTGCTCAAAACCCTCCAGGGGCTTCTCATCATGCTCTGAACAAAATTCAAACTACTTACCCTCAAATCCAGCCCCTGCTCACCTGGTTCAACTCATTTTGTACCCCTCTCCCCTACTGCTCTTGTTCTCGCTCCATCTCCGCCTGTTTGCTGGTCCTCCAATGCACCACAGGGCCTTTGCACTTGCGGTTCCCTCTGGCTCAAGTGCTCCCTCCCCTAAGATTTTCTCATGGCTGGCTCCTTCTCATTTCCCAGATTTGGCTTAAATGTCACCTCTTCAGAGAAGCCTTCCCAGAACACGATCTTAAATAGACAGCTCCCCCACCCCCCAGCCCGTAGTGTTGAGGCATAACGCCCATCTTATTTCCACTGTCACACTGACAGGCTCAAGCGTCCGGTGCATTTGTTAACGTGGCTTTTATCTGCCCTGCCCCACCCCCAGTCTGGAATTTCCCTGAGGGCAGGGATGGCATCTGTCTGTCTGGGTCACCAGTTTATCTTCAGAGCCTAGAATGGTGTCTGGCACATCGAGGGCATTTAGCATTCATAATGCTAAACTTTATCTCAGAGATGATGCACATCAGCTACATTTAAATGGTGTTACTTCCATATTGAAAATACTAATAACAGCGCCTAGAGCTGAACAGCGAAATGCTCCTTTGGGCTTCTAGAGCTATTAATGTTATTCAGGGAATGAATGTCGTCAAGATCCATCAGGTGTACCTACCAAGCAACTACACTGTTTGTGATACTTTGGGGGCTACAGTGAGGGGTCACCCTCAAAGAACTGAGTCTGAGAGAAAAAGAAACGAAGGCAAACTGGAATGTGAGAAATCAAATGGCGAGTGCTACAAGAAGCAGAGGATACTTCTGGGCCACAGGTAAGTGAAAAGGGTCTGAACACCCTTTCACATGGAATGAGTGTGAGAGGCCCTGGGAATATGCTTCTGGGCTTCTGGAATATGCTCCCTTCAAGAGCGCTGGGACGCGTGTAGCAACAGTGGGTCATAGTTGTCACAGGGGCCGGCGGAGGGAAGGACACTGCTGCCATGTGGTCAGCTGGGGGCCACAGAGGTGCTAAACGTCCTTTGCACAATGAAGAGCCCACCATCCCAAATGCCAATGCAGAAATGGCTTACGCCTGTCCATCCAGAACACAGGGAGTGCCTTCGGGGACTTCTGGATTGACATGCTTAACATGCTGGTCACTAGGTAGTCGTTCCTGAGTTCTTTTTCTCCCCCTGAACTCTTTTTACCATTTCCACCTACCTGCTATACGTATCCACCAGGTCCGCAGCAGAAAGAAAACCCGAGTCCAAGCAAAGGATGGAGGGGAACAGCAAGGCCCACCAAAATGTCTCCTTGGGGCCCTAGCAACGTGGGCTCCAAAACCCCAGCCCAAAAGAAAGGTGCCACCTGTGGATAATGCTCAGTTCCTGGCCATCAGACCGTCCCCAGTGACACCGACCTCCCTGGGGGGGATCTTTATTTGCATTTCTGAGTCGGCTCTACTGTATGTCCAGCAATTAGTAACACAAGAAGCTGATCCTGAATCAGTCTTCCCGAGTGGGGGTTGTTTCCCTAGAGTGGTGGTCTGGGGCCTCCAGCAGCAGGGAGCAAGGAGGTGCCAGGACTGGGCGGATATGGAGCACTCAGGCCCCAGCTAAGGGAGTCCATCAGGCACAGCTCTGCCCTCTGCAGGTGGAACACGGATCAACATCATTCTGATGTTTCCAGAGAAACTGGAAAATCCGATTTTTACTGAGATCTTTTGGTTTTTTTCTTTTCTTTTTTTTTAAGTAATCTCTACCCCCCACTTGGGGCTCAAACTCATGACCCTGAGATCAAGAGTCGCATGCTCCACCGACTGAGCCAGCCAGGTGCCCCAAGATCTTTGGGATTTTCAATGCTGACCCCTAATTCAATGGCTTTTTAAAATATTGTGGAGGCTGAAGCACACCCATCTGAGGCTGATCTGGGGCCCCTCTCCTAGCTTGCTCCTTCTGTACACTGAACCCCAGAATCTGTTTGTTTGCAGGCAACTGATGCTCCCCGAGGGTTCAGGAAATTTAAAAACAGAAGTTAAATATGCTGACAACCGGGCAAGGTTCTCAAGAAAGAGCAGGACGGGGGATAGGGGGATAGGCTTGGGGACCCAAGGAGGGCCCGCCAAGGGACTGACACTGGTTTCACTGTGTTCTTCCTTGGTGAAAAATTCCCAGCATCTCCCTAATTCTTATGACATCAAATCCCAAGTTCCTGTCCAGGCTCTCCGAAACGTGAGCCCACCCCACCTCAGTAGCCTTATATTTCATCGTGTTCCTGTGTCCCTTCCCCATTCTAGTTGGGCCAGCGTTCCTCGAGCTCCTTCAAAGTCAAAACCAGTGATCCCCTCAGCCAGACGGCCTCTCTCCCTATGTAAATCCCACCCATCCTTCAAAGCCTGGCTCACCCCCCACCTCCTTTAGGAAGCCTTTGTGACAGTAAACAGGAAAATGCTTGTGAGCTCAAGGGCTCGTGCCTAGGAGACCTGGGTTCAAATCCCACCTCTCCCATCAAGCAGCTGGATGATTTACCAAACTTCTTTGAGCTTCAGAAGATGATCAGTCATAGTGCCTACCTTACAGAAATTGTGAAGGATTAAGGGAAATGATACGAATAAAATACTTAACTCCCAGTAAGTGCTCAATTAATGTGAACTCTTATTCCTATTACGGTTGACCTCCCTCTCCTCCCATAAAGTGTTCCAGCCTTACACTGTCTCTCTCTTCTGGGCAAAGCACCAATGGACTCCACACGGCCCACATTTGCTCAGAACGAGCCCTGGGCGTTGGTCTACCTCAGTTCCCAGCTTGGCTTTAATGCTTCTTAAAGTTCCAGAGCCATGTTGGATAGAACCTAGAACTCACAGAGACCCAAGTGGACACTAAATCCGAGAGTTGCCTAAGTAACCCAACCCTGGCTCTGACCCGACTCCGTAAAAGTCCCTCTCTCAAGCAGCGGCAGAAATCCTTGCTGGGAAGAGACACACGTAGCCAGGGACAGAGAGAAACAATCGCTCCCCCTCCCCCACAGGGCCTCCTTCACATTCCTTGCTCCAGGCTCCTCACCTTTCCTTCTGATGCTGGAGATGATACACGAAGCCAGTCAGTGTCCACTCTCTTCACACGAGTGTATGATGCGGGGAACCTGGACAAATGGGCCACACAGCAAGCGTCATTTTGGCTGGGATTAAATGGGAAGCCCGTGACTCGCAACAGGAGCCAAGATGGCTTCAAGATGGCTTCCGCAGGCCCTGTCCCCCCAGTGTTACTACACCTCAGGTCAGGCCCATTCATCCTGCCCCAAGCACCATGGCTGGGATCCCCTGGTCACTGGTGCCAGAGGGCTTGTCCCACTTGTCACTTTCACTTTTCTCTGGGCTTAACAAGAATCAGAGCAAAAATACCTTCGTGCAATTTACACCCCGCCCCCCGTTCCAGTTACTCGTGCTTTGAGTGACTCCCTCCCAAACAAAAACGGGGCACAGAAAAATGTGACTCCTGGAATGCCATACCCTTTAAAAAGCAAGCAACCAACCAACCAAACAAAACCCTTGAGAGGTCCCAACTAGATGATCCCAAGGAGTGGTCTCCTCAGCCTCAGGGCTGAGCCCCACCGATCCCGCCGGACAAGTATACACTACTCCCAAAGCACCAAGCTGCGAAGTTAGCAGCAGAGGCAGGCAAGAAAAAAAGCACAACATGGGCCTGATCTTCGAGACCTTATTCTCAAACTGGAAAAGACGCGGGGAAAATGAAGAGACCCCAAAGGTTAAGAAGCCCGTGTTCCAATACAAGTAAGTCCCGCCTCAGTGTTAGCGGCCCTCAAAAGTTCTCCGGTAACGGTTGGCTTCCAAAAAAAAAAAAAAACCGCAGAAAAGGCAGGAGAACAAACGTGAGGACGCGGGTCCCAAGGACCGAGACTACCCTCGATCCCCCCCCCCCGCCCCCAGTTCGGGAATCGCAGCTTCTCCCACAGCTCGGGCCTCTCCAACTTGCTTCTTCCCCTCGCCCCGCTGACCCCCAACCCAAGCTCAGGACCCGGGGCTTCCTGTGGGTGAGTCCCGCTCTCCCAGTCAGACTGGAAATGGTATTATTGCACCCGTAGCAGAAACCTCAAGCGAGACTCTTGACTAGTGAAGCCAAGGAGCCGGTCACCAGTGGGGCGGAGGCGGTGCAGCCCTGCTCAGGATTAAGTGGGTGAGTGCAGGCGGAGCAGGGGGAGGAAGCCCCGGCCCTTGGCGTGTGGCTCGAACAGGAGAGGGCACCTTCAGTTCCCAGAAGCGGGATGCCACTGCCAGCGTAGCCCAGGGGAGTGCCTCGAGTGACCTCTGCTGGAACAGCGGCCTGAGGGAGCCCCGGAGCGGGTGCCAGAGCGCCCCCTAGTGTGGCGCCAGGGCCCGAGGAGGTGCGGCACGGTCTAGGGAGAAGAGAGAGGACCAGGGGAAGAGCCCAGGCGCATCTCTGGAAAACCTGACTCTGCAGGGGCAGGTGGGGGTGGCCCGGGTCTCCCGCGCATCCCCTCCCCGGCGCCCACCCAGGGCCCCGCGTGGCTCTGTCTGCAAGGTCCCGGAGCTCCCCTAGGCCGGGGCGGCCAGCGGGCCGAGACGCAGCGGGACGTGGCTGCCTGCCTGCGAGCAGAGCGGGGGGGTGGGGGGTGGGGTGGGCATTTTACCGGGAGTCTAAGGAGCCGCTGCGTCTCCACTCCGGCCTCCGCTGGGGTAGCGGGACTGCTACGGCAGCCGCCGCCGCCGCCGCCTCTCTCCAGCCGCCGCAGTGGCAACGGCCAACGCTCCCGGTCGCTCCCTGCGACTGTGGCCCGCGAGGCCAGCTGTTGAATGGCTCGCGCCGAGCGCACCCGGCGCAGAAGCGTCCCCGCCGCATCCAAGTCGGCGACGCAGGCGCGCGCCCCGGTGCCAACGCCCCGTGCGCCCCTCGCCCGGCTGCGGCCCTGGCGAGCTCGCCGCGGCTGCTTCCCGGCCCCGTACTCCCAGCTCCCGGCTGCGGGCTCGCCCGCCCGCCTGCTCCCCTCGGTGGGCTCTCGCCAAACCAATTGCCTCCCCTGGCCGGCTCCGCCCCCTCGCTGCCATCCCTCAACTGGCCCGCAGGACCAATGGCAACAATGGGCTAGTCCCGCCCCCTCGATTCCCCTGGGGCCAATCGCCTTCTCCTGAGGACCCATTCAAGTAACCCCGCCCCTCTCGTGCGGCAAAGCTGCAGCCGAAGTTTATCCCACTGCGCGGTTGCTCCTGACGATGGCGAGGCTGTGCCCAGGCCCCCCCCACCCTCAAGCCCCCGCACGAAGTTACACTGATTTCAAGGCTGCAACTCACCTGGTCTGCCGACCCCCCACGCGACCTATTCTTTTGAATAAGTGAGTATTTAAAGAGCTAATGAGAGAGGTACTGTTGTCCTCCTCATCCCCCAGCAGGGCTGCCGCGAAACGTGCACCCGCCTGGCCAGAACTTGCACATCACAGGGTCAGCAAGAATCTCGAAGGTCATCCACTGACCCTGTCCCCGCAATGCTGCGTGTTGCGTTTGTGTTTTGTTGTTGTTGTTTGTCCTATGTACAGGGGCTCTGCCCTCTAGGCTGGACGACTTCCAGGGACAAGGACTAACTGGCACCACGAACAGCCCCTTGGGTAGCACGAGGCTGAGCGAAACCGGCCCCCTGGTAACTTCTGCCCCCTTGAAGCCACACAAAGGCAGCTTTGCCCCTCTTCCCACAAGGGCCCAACAATTTGAAGACAAATCTGGCCCCACAGTTCTTCCAGGCTCTGTTGCTCCAAGGAACCGAGTTCAAGGCTCTTCTTTGCGTTTAAGCCAATTCCTTTATTATCTTTCAAAAGTGGAAGGTGGGAAATAAGTCTCTCCTCCCCCCTAACCGCCAGCCGCGAGGCACAGACCCTTCTGCATAGAGCAGACTGGGACAGTCACGTCCCTTGTCTAGACAGTAGATTTTTCTACTCCAGCTCCCTAGGATGGCATTTGCTTTCCTGACTGCCATATCATAGCTGACAAATATTAGATTTACTGTCAACTAACCCCCGGGGCTATTTCTCACTGCTGCTGCTAACACAAGGCTCTGTTTTCTACTTGATTAGCTGGTAAATGTCATTGGGTTTTGTGGGGGGGGGCTAATTTCACTGTTTTCTATCAAGACCGCTTTGCCAGCTCATTCTGTACTTAATCTCTCTCCATTTGTCTTGCTCCCACCGCCAAGCTCAGGCCCTCACCCTGTGTGCACAACTGCCAAAGAGTCTCCTCACAGAGCACCTTACCTCTAGGCTTGTACCCTCCTGGGTGGCCTGTCAGGGCTCCTGTCCTCATCCATCTGACACCAGAAGCCACAGTGGTCTCTAAAACACAAAGATAATCCTGTCACCCCACCCAGCCTAAAAGCCCACCCCCAGCTTCAAATCCTTTCCTATTCCTTTTCCAGCTTCCCCCCCCCCCCTTTGCCTCCAGGATGAGATCCAGAACCCCCGCAGAGCATGTGAAACCCTTGGTGATCTGGTCTCACCTGCCCAGCCTCATTCCTAGCTGTTCTACCCCCATCACAGAGCACTCCATACTTCAGATCCACTGAACTTCCTGCTGTTTCTCAAATGAGCCACAGTCTCCAACCACTTCTATGCCTTTGATACAAAGTCTGGAATAAACTGCTCCCTACCCTCCTAATCCTGACCTATTGATGTATTTGATTCATTCATTGAATACATATCCTGAGCACCTACATGTGTCAGGTATGGAGGCATAACAATGTGATTTTTTTTTTTAAAGATTTTATTTATTTATTTGAGAGAGAGAGAATGAGAGAGAGGAGGGTCAGAGGGAGAAGCAGACTCCCTGCCGAGCAGGGAGCCCGATGCGGGACTCGATCCCGGGACTCCAGGATCATGACCTGAGCTGAAGGCAGCCGCTTAACCAACTGAGCCACCCAGGCGCCCCACAATGTGATTTTTAAAAATCTGACTTGATCCCTTCATCAGGTGCTTCCGAGTAGAGGGTAATGACGCTGCTTCCATTCCCATTGCCACACAGACATCAGGCAGCTATTTGTAATGATTGGACTTCAGATTCCTCCAGGCAGCTGAGACTGGGATTGTCTTCCTGCGGAGTGTCATTAAATAATATTCAGACTCATTCCATTAAGGTTGGCAGTTTGAAGGCCAGAGGTCACGGCCCTTTCCTTCATTTCCTTCACTTTAATTGACAAAACCCCAACTTGTTAAGATGTTCTGTATGAGAGAGAATATGTGCTTATTGCGTTTGTTGGGTTCTTTTCCCTTTTATTTTTTAAGATCAGAATAAATCAAACCAACACGCTGTACACTTTACACTTACACGATTTTTTTTTTTAAGATTTTATTTATCTGACAGAGAGACACACAAAGATTTTATTCATTTGACAGAGACACAGCGAGAGAGGGAACACCAGCAGGGGGAGTGGGAGAGGAAGAAGCAGGCTCCCAGCTGAGCAGGGAGCCCGATGCGGGGCTCGATCCCAGGACCCTGGAATCATGACCTGAGCCGAAGGCAGATGCCTAACACCTGAGCCACCCAAGCACCCGAAACTTACACAATGTTATATGTCAATTATATCTCAAACAATTAGATAAACAGATCAGGATAGCAATTTGTCATATACCATAGGCATTGATGTTTCTGGATCTGAAGAGAAAGCACATGAACAGGACTGACTGTATGTTATAAAAATTAATCCAGGGACACCTGGATGGCACAGTCAGTTAAGCATCTGACTTGGTTTCAGCTCAGGTCGTGATCTTGGGGTTGTGGGATCGAGCCCTGTGTCGTGCTCCATGCTCAGCAAGGAGTCTGCTTGGGACTTTCTCTCCGTCTCCCTCTGCCCCTCCCCTCCTCAGATAAATAGATAAATCTTTAAAAAAATGAATCCATTGGAATCATGTAACTACAGAACTTCAGTGTTAGAAGGGACTTTTAAGTTAATTTAATCAAACTCCACCTTGGATGCCAGAAACTACTATGTGGGCAGTTTTTCGGGTTTTTTACAAAGTTCTTAGCTCCTCGGCCTCTGAAAACAGGCCGTGCTCTTACTGTTAAAATATTGTCTCCACACAACTAAGGCATTTGAGGAGCACCCAGAATGCTTCTCTGCCCACTGTT